TATATATATAAAATTTTAAATTAAAGGTTTATTCCTTTTTGCTGCAGCTGTTCACAGTTTAAAGTTGAGTCGCAACCACGTGGACTGGCACAACGTAGATGAAGTATATCTTTACAGCGATGCAACAACATCTAAAATTGCAAGAACTGTTACGCAGAAATTGGGATTTTCCAAAGGTAATACTTCTCAGAATTTGTAAATAATTTTGTAACTATTAATGCCTTAATTTTTTTTTATTATTTTTTTTTTTTTACTTAATGCTGTGAGAAGAACATTCCAGGTTCCATCCGTTATCAAGTTTGAAATTTTTGATGCATAGTTAATTTTTGTCATTGCAGTTTTATGAGGGAATAACTCTAAGGTCTTATTACATTGCCAGGAACATTTGTAATGAAGTATAAAACAGATTTACAAGCACCTTATTACCAAATAACTGATATGGTTTCATATAACATTAAAAAGAACCTTAAGATTGCAAAGTAAAGCATTCACAAGTTAAAGAAAAGAATGAATGTTTTCTGTGCAACCTTAATTTGACACCCTCCCCCATGTAGGTACTACAGTGGTCTTTCATTACATGATTACATACTGTTTTCTTTCTGACTGGACTCCTGACTCATTCACTGCACAGAATGTCCCTGCTGTAGGGATGTGTAAGTTCTATAGCAAAGGAGGCTGATGTCCATAGGACTCTGACTCATTTTGTTGCTGTAATTGAAAGATGTGTGTTAAATGAGGCAGGAGATTCACCAAGTGAAAGGTGAAGGCAGGTGATTGCTGCCCTGGATAGTTGGATTCTTTTCCTGCCCCAGCGGGTTCTTTTATTATTCTGGGCAAGTTGCCTAAACCAAAATGTGCACAGGTGGCCACCATGTGTCCTTATTTTCTGAATGTCTGGGGTCTGTTTTACAAAAGAAGTGAATGGAGCTTGGCCCTGAACACAAAAAGTACTACAAAATGCTAAGAACACTGCAAAATCAGAGCCTAAGCATCTCCAATTGGGCAACCAAAACTAGTTGATAGTTTTGGCTTTCCTTTCTGTGCCTCAGTCCTCCAAGTATAACATAGGGATAGGAAACGTTCAGATCACATCAGATGTGATTTTGTGTAGAAAAGGCCTAGCAAAAATGGAGATTACAGGTTGAACCACTTGAGTGTCCAGTGCCGAACCAGAGAATTTGCTGAACTACGGGAGGTCATTTAAGTGTAAATTACTGCTAAATAACAGCACAGAGCACTGAGAGCCAGGACTAGAGGCTGTAAACAAACTTTATGGGACCATAGGATACTTGGCCACACCCATGATAAGTGGACATCTGGCTAACTAAAATCATGATGGACCACGGATGTTGCCAGTCTAGAGAGGTTCAGTATGTATTCTGAAAATAACACGCTGCATTGGAACTAATCCTTTCTGCTTATTGATATCTGCTACCCAAAACAGGACATGGATCTTCCAAAAGCTGGGGGGGAGATAGCCCTGACTTATTCAGCTGGAAGTATAATTCAGGCATTTTTTCAGATAGACTGAGTTTGCAGAGTTCCTGGCTAGAGCTGTGTGGAGGAGACATTTGTTTCACAAAGGATTTCAGGATTCCAATTCAGAACAAACCTTTAACATTTTGAAATTTTCAGCTCCGTTCATGGATGAAGGAGGGACTTGTGTATCAGTCATGGTGATGATACTTTCTTGCCCATTGTTCAGAAAAGATTTTGCCAAGAATCTTTACGTATACTGACCACTGAAGATGTGTTGTAGAACTAGAGGAAACGTAATGATTAACTTTTTATATGCTTAAGTTATCTGTATTACAAAATGAATAGTGCATTATTCAGCTGCTTTACATTTGTTTTCCAAAACAGCTGTGAAATTAGCAAAATCCTCACTGGCAATGACATGAGTAACTAATCAGTGTCATGGAAATTGTGTATCCAGATCTGTTAGGCCACTTTGAAAATCTGTGTATTGTGTGTGCTGATTTTTGAAAATGTTTTATTTGCAAAATATCATTTGCAATCTTCCAGTTTGAAGCAGGTTCCTCTTCTACTAGTCCCGCCTCTTGTAGTGTATATAGAGGTTTCATACTTCATGAAATAAAACTGTGATCCAGAATAATGTGGGGTTTTTTTGTTTTTGTTCCTACAGCTTCAAGTAGTGGGACCAGGCTTCATAGAGGCTATGTAGAAGAAGCTACATTAGAAGACAAGCCATCGCAAACTACTCACATTGTGTTTGTTGTGCATGGTATTGGGCAGAAAATGGACCAAGGAAGGATAATCAAAAACACAGCTATGTGAGTACTTTATTATATGTGCAATAGCAATTCTAACATTAATATGAGGCTCTAATAGACATATCAGGACTCTGCTGACATAAATCAAGTAGTTTATAAATGACAGCCGAGCATTCAGTGTCATTTTCCCTGGGGCCATCTCAGATGTGCTTTTCTCTGGGGCCATTTATTTTAATACTGTGGATGTGCAAATGTTCACTGCACTTTTTAAACTTTAGTGCCTAGTTAGAGCAGTGCCTGGAAGAAGCCCAAGATTTTAAGGTTATGTCTGCACTACAACCTATGTCAGTATAACTTATGTTGCTCAGGGATGTGAATATCTCTCCCCCTCCCCCCGAGTGACATAAGTTATGATGACATAAGTGGTCAACAGTGCTGTGTTGACAGTGGAGCGTTTTCCCAACAAAATATAACTTAAGCCATTTATGGAGGTGGTTGGTTTATGCTGATAGGAGAGCTATTTCCCACTGGCATAAAGTGTATTCACTAGACACATTTCACTGGTGCTGCACTGTTCGTAGAGACATGGCCTGTTTAGTCCTGGGGGAAGGGCAGAGGATTTCTAGAACTGGAGGTTACCGGCTTACTTGGTCAGGTAAGGAGAGAGGTTCCCTTGCTTCATATCAGCAGGAGTATCATTGTGTCCTTGACTGGCAGAATAGTAGGTGAGCTTGAAGGGATCTTGGCGTGGAGAAGGAGTATAAGGAATCAGTCTGGGTGTTGTCGCTGACATTAGAGGGCCAAGATTATTCTGCGTAGAGATGTGCTGGAATGGGAAGCGCTTATCCAAAGCTCACTAATGACAGCCAGACCTTTCCTTAAGCATCTTTTGATGAAACTGGTGAGGGAATGTTATGAATTTGTGGAGATGTTGAAGTGTATGTACACACGCTCATTGACAGTCAGACTTGCTGTGGTCAGTGGTAGCCGATTTCATGACTCTTCCCTGGTCTATGAAGGCTGGGCCTAAAATCATCTATTGTGAATGGGTTATCAGCATTTTGTCTCTTCAAAAAGTGTACTTGACTGTTCAAGCATGTTGTGCCTCATCTATTCTAAAAGTGAAAGTGCAGTTTTGTATTAGTCTGATGTGGCAGCTCAGTATAATACTGAGGGATCCATGTGAGAAATGAGTAGAGGAGTCTTTTTAAGGGAAGAGTGTAAGATTGGTTTGCTTATTAAAGGTTTCATTTAGTTTGGTAATAAAAATGTAATAGCAGAAGTCTCAGAACTTGTTTTCCTGGCCAGTCTAATAATTTAGCTGAGATTCCCAGACATAATTTTGTAATCAAGCTTGAGCTCATGGGCTCTGGGAAGGTCTTTGGAGAAGCTAGGTTTCCGCTATGTTCAAGGGCTGTTGGGCATGAGGGAGAGACATGTTTGGGACTCAGAAAACTGATGCATGGAATTTCAGTTTGGGGGGCTCTTTGCTAGACAACATAAAAAAATGTTGTGGAGTCTTAGTGTTGGGTAAAATCACATTTATTTTAATAATTTCATTTCATAGAAAGATAAGGCTAGAAGGGACCTCGAGAGGAGTCCAACCCTCTGCACTTAAGCAGGATTAAAGTACACCAAGGGACTAGCTCTGACAGGTGTTTAACCAGTTTTTAAACTTTTAATGACAATTTAGAATATGGACATGATAGTTATGGTTTAGTGAAAAGCATGAACCCACACAGATAGGAGTTTTTGTCATTATCGTTTTTCTGAGTGAGCTTGTTCAAGAACATTGTAATCATCTGGCTTCATCCATGTAGCCATTAACGAGGCATACAATGGATATTTGTGCTGACATTTTTGCACAAATGAGTCACCTTGGTTTGTGCTCGATTAGAAACACAAAGGTAGGTGAAATCAGGTATTGCCTGCTGTAAAAAGACGAAGTAGACAAAGAAATATTGTAAGAGTGTCCGGGTTTTAAAGACCAAAGTGTGGAGGAGGGTGGTGATAAAGGGGAAATAGTCCAATATCCCTTCCTTTTAAATGGGTGTGGCTCAAAAGGAATCTCTGTCTGCAGCCATGCTCTGTGCACACTATAGGCAGACAACAGGCCTGTTAGAACAGCACAGAGGGTTGTCACTCTGAGTGGCGATCTTCCCTTTGCTGCATGAAACGTGGAGCTCATCATCCATCTCAGACCTGGCTGGCGGTGGCCCCTCTGTAGAGTTCGGGGTACGTTATAGAGATAGGGTGCAGGAGCGGGTAGGTCAGTGGCCAAGCCTTTACCAGAGAGTACACACACACTGTTTCTCTACAGCCCTGCAGATAATCACCAACAAGCCTAATACGACCTCAGATTGTATCATTTCCCATAAGTCTTCCCTCGGGAGCATCCCAAATATGCTGCAACTATAAAAGGACTCTGTGGAGATGGTTCCAATGAAATTAGGGAGGAGATGTTCCTTGGGTCCACCACAAACATTGTTGGTCCCCACAGGATTGTTTCTTTGGGTGGTAGCTGGGTTGCTCCCCCCCCCCCTTTTTTTTTTAAAGAGCCAGGGAGAAAGGTACCACCCCATCTTTTTTTGAATGGGTTGATGTTGGCGATCTCCACAAGGAGATTTCTTCCTCAAGAGCATCCTTCTATGAGTTTTGCCATTGTGGGAGCTGGAGGATGATCTTTGCAGAAATATAAATTATAACTTCTGCTTATATCTGGTATGCCTTTCTATAAATCTCCTATTTTTATTTTTAAGTCAGATTCAATCTACACCTCTGCTCATGGTTTAAAAAAAGCAGCCTTACTGCTCAGGTTTTTTTGAATTTCTGTTTTTAAAAGTTTCGAGTTTTTTTTCACACTGATCTATTTAGAGGATGTTTTAGCTGTAGATTATGGATGGGTCAAGGCTCCTGTAGTGTGCTCTATTTTCAAGTCACTGACTCTGACAGTAGTTACCATTGCTTGGTTAGGTGGTGTTCATTGCAAAGGTCAAAAGAAAATTCAACTTTATAAAGTTGGTTTTAAAAGTTATGTATGTATTGCAGTAAAATATGGAGTGCAATCTTGTCTTTGTTTTGTGAGTTGCTCAAAGGCAATGCTGATGGGAGTCATCTTGAAAATGGCTAGATAGGTTATAGATCACAGAATCCTACAACTGGAAGAGACCTCGAGAGGTCATTGAGTCCAGTCCCCTGCCCTCATGGCAGGACCAAGCACTGTCTAGAAAGTCACTGTCAATGGAAAGCAGTTCCAAATAAAATAGTCTTCTGAAAGATATGTGGCATGATGTATCTGTTAACTTTTTTTCTCGCTGTAATATTTAAACACGTTTCTTATCTAAATGTAGCACAGTAGCTAACACAACAAGCTGTTACTGTCAAAGCTGATATTAGCTACAAAACTAATGTAAGAAAGGACAATATTTTGTGCTCAGGTAGAATAATTATTCACTTAAACAAAATATTGCAATATGTTCTGTCTGGGTAGCATAGAAGATTAGATTTTTATTGCTTATGTAGGAAAATGTTAAAGGTTTCTGATTTCATAAAGATAGTTATTGGCATAATTTTATTATGTGGTTTGCATGGTAACACTGGATTACACTGCAAAGATGTGAGACTGTAAAGATGTTCTTTAATATTGTCTTTCTGGAAAATTCATCCCACCTGTTTTTGGATCTCCTAAGATTCCCTGTGACCCAACCTTTCTCTTCCTGGGATTTTAATCTTGAAAAATCCTAAATAAGGAAAATAAATCTGTTATCCTGTTAATTTGCCTACACAACTTTTTGGGCCTCTTTGGATGGATATTTTTGTGTTTTGTTCTTTTAGATTAGTACCTGCTCATAGTGTTCAGTTTTGCTGAAGCTGACAATGGCTCTTGCTCTTTTAGGGTAGTAGTTTTTTCCCTTGGGCCTATTAACTGGCATTTTTCCCCCTCAGGAAAAATTGTATTTTATCTTGATTATTTCTAATTTTTGCAGGTTGCTTCATTCCCGAATTTAACTTTTTCAGAATTTTGATGACCTTTTTTTGTCTACATTTGGCAATTTTACTGAGAGAACTATTCTGGAATAAATTTTCCAGAATTGTTATTTTGGTAGATTTCCAGGTGTTAATTACTTGGATCAAAGAGACATTGTGTACCTGGTATGTTTTTCTTCTATCCCTTGAAACAACTTAAGTACATCAAGGATGCTGTCAGTTTTAAATTTTCATTTTGGCTTGACAGGACTTCTGATAGTTGTCTGTCTTTCATAAGGACAACTCGACCTTCACTGGTAGCTTCATTTAAATTTCCCTTTTTAACTGAGATATTCAGATAGTTAATGGTGTTTTAAGGTTCTCAACTGGGGATTGTCTTGCAGACTCAATGAAGTGAAATGTTTGGTACTTAAGCTCTAGTAAAGCTAATCAGGATCTAATTGTCAGTAAAGTGGAAAAAATGATAGCAGATGAGAAAAGCCTCTTAACTAGTTAAAAAGTTCTTCCAGTTCATCTTAGAATGTCCACTGCAGCTGGTACTGAACAGTGTTTCCCACATAATTTTAAATGCTTTCATGAAATTGTATATTAGATATCTAATGCATAACTGCATGATATAAACTAGGGATGTCGATGAGTAGTCAACTAGACGATTAACCGACCAGCCTAGGCTCATCGATTAATTTTGTCTACTACTCGCATTTCCAGACCCCCTTACAGAGGCAGCAAGAGGGGGGAACAGAAGCCGGTGCTGGGGAAACCAGCTTAAAAGCTAGTTCCCCCGCAACACCAGCTCTTCGGTGGTGCCTACCCCCACGCACGCTGTTGACTCTTAGAAGCAGTAGTGCAGGGGAGCTGCTGCGAGGCCCACTGTCCTCTCAGCAGCAGCCCTTGTCCGCGGGGGGTCCGAGCTCCCCATGGACAGAGGGAGCTGGTTTTTAAACTGGCTCCCCTGCCATCCACACTGCTGCCTCTGATACAGAGGCAGAAGCACAGGTTGGCAGGGGGCTCCCTGGTTGCGGGGCTAGGAGCACACTCACTGCCAGCCTCACCCCCTGGGCCTATTGAATAAT